AAACATGGACTTCCACCCCCCAAAGCTGGCGGGAAGACACATCTCCATCCTGCTTGATGCAGATGATGCTGCCGTGCTCTCTAGAACACCCATTGGGCTCAAAAGAGCTTTGAGAGCATTAATACAATATTGCAACACAGATCAGTTCCAACTCAATTACAATAAAACCAAAATCATGGCTTTCGCTAATAGGCCCAGGACTTACTCTTGGAGCATAGATGGTCATAAAATTGAACAAGTTACATCCTTCAAATATCTAGGTGTAGTTTTCCAATCTAATGGTAGCAGAAGAGCTCATGGGGATCAAGTATCCAACACCGCGCAGGGGAGCTCAATTGCCATTCTTAAATATCTCAGGACAAGAGGGGGTCACTTCACACCGGCAGCGCTCAAGCTGTTTGAAGCCAAGTCATTAGCCCAACTCTTGTATGGTGCTCAGCTGGGCCCCTTCCCCAGTTTTGCCCCATTAGAGGTGGTTCAGTCCAAGTTTCTGAGATCGTCCTTGCAGGTACCTCAATGCGTTTCTAATGCCACCCTGCGTCTAGAGACGGGCTTGATGAGAGTGGAGGCCAGGGTGTGGGTGGCCATACTTAACCTCTGGCTCAGACTGTCCCGTGCACCCCTTGGCCTTGCCCCACTAACCATGGAGGATGACTTCCAATCCACATGGAAGCAGGCGGTAGCATCCAAAATCTCCTCGTTGGGATTTTCTCCAGGTCTACTATTAGCTATGGATTACAATCAAGCCAAAGCACTTATTAAACAACGTATCACAGACACAGAGCGCCAACTAGATCTGGCCTCGGCTCCAACCTTTCTTGTCAGTGAAGACAGCAGATACCTTGCCTTCCCTATGGCATATTTAACATACTTAGAGGTTCCTATTCATCGGAGGGCTTTCACCCTGGCCCGATGCTACGCTCTCCCATCAGCTGTACTCGAAGGCCGCTACCGGAAGATCCCTTTCCCAGAGAGACTCTGCTGCCCCTGTGACTCGGGTCATGTGGAAACAATAGAACATGTGCTCCTTCAGTGTCCGTTCTACAGGGATACCCGTGCCAGGCTTATCTTACCCCTGATAGACAAGCACCCAGGCCATTCAGGACAATTTTATACCTCCCTGCTACTTGCAGATACTAATTCAGCTACAACCTACAATGTCGCAAAGTTCTGTGCAGCAGCATACAAAATCCGCCAGGGAATGACTAGTTCCAAAAGTCAACTGTGTGTCCAGTAATCTTCTTCCCTGAATCTACAATTTGGTGATGGATCTGGGCATTGTATGTTTTTACCCTGTTTCCCCTTCTGCTCCCTCACCCATATTGTGTTTTAGTAGTTATATTTATATGTTTAATGTACCAAACATGCCAGGTTTGTATGGAAATGTGACACTATTTCCTGTGCTGGTCAATGACCGAAATAAATGTTTTTGATTTGATTTGATTTTGATTTGACAGACCTTGCAGTGCATCTACACTGTCATGTGAATGCAATTTCACTGGCACAGCTCAAAACTATGGAATTCCGGGAGCTGTAGTTTCCTTCTTCCCAAGCATCCGCTATTCCCAAAACAGACACAACACAAAAGGGGGAATACTTACTCCCTTTCCGTCGCCGATAGAGGAAGCAAGCCAAGGCGACGAAGCAGAAGATGACCAGAATGCCGGCCCCAATGGTGGCTCCGGCGATGATCCCCACTGGCAATACCTCTGCAAAGGGCAGATCAGAGGGTCATCGGCATGGAGAAATACAAAAGAGTAACTCGAGCCAACTTTGGACAATCTTGGAGGAAGCTAGTAGCCGTATTGAGAGTGATGTATTTGAGCACCAAAGCAGTTCTCCCAACTCAAGAACAGAAAATGGAATGTTGGTGGAGATTAAAAGCCCTGTATAAAGACTATTGATCAATCCCGCATCGCTGCCACCAATTATAAAGGCTCGTATATGGCACCACTAATATATCTTGACAGGGGGCAAACAAATCCCACCAACTGTCCCTCCAAAATAAAGAATTCACTGGCACCAATATAAATGTTATGAGGGGATGTCTCTCTAATTAACGTCCGCTGCCACCAACACTGAAATGTACAGGAACACCCTAGCTGTTTAAAATCTTAAAAGGGTTTTTAGGACCACCAAGCACTGTGCTTTATTATTTGCTTCTTCAAAGGAAAACAATTGAGATTGTTTGAGAAAGGGACTATATCCACGAATGGCACACTTGACTCAGGCTTTTTAGGTTTCAAAATAATCAAAGGAAAGTTTATTGATGGAATACAGAAAGTAAGTGCTGTTTAGAATCTTGCTGTTACAGAGAAATGTTAGTTCTTGTCTTTAAAGCGTAATGGTTACATGTAAATGGCTCTTTCTTTGTTACAAAAAACAGAGATTTTCTTCTCTTTAAAACCAAGTACTCTTGACAGGAACTGAATCTCTGTCAAGATACAACTGTAGCTTAGCTACCCTAAACTGAGGCCTAGCTAACTACAAAACCAGCTATCTTTTGCTGGCAAGCCTAAGGCAAACTGCCTTCTTAGCTAATCTCAAACACACGAACTCCTAAACTACCTTCCTACTCTAATTGCTAACACCAACAGACTCCCTGAAAAAGCCCTCTTTCTTTCCCTCCAAACCTTGCTAAACTCCGCCCCCTTTTCTGAACCAATCCTGGCTGTTCTAATGCTAACTCAGGCCTAGGACACTCCCCCTCTCTAAAATGGTGTTTGCCCTGAACTAAAATGGCTCCCGCTGCTCTCTGCCAGGCCCACTAAAGCTGCAACTAACTGGCCTGATTCTCCTAGGCCCTGCCATCCAGGCTGGCAAGGTAAGGGATCTTTACAATGGGCTTAAAGCCAACCTTAAAAAATGTGGTATAGACTCTAAGAACTGGAAAGCCCTGGCCCTTGAGCGCTCTAACTGGAGGTCAGCTGTGACCAGCAGTGCTGCAGAATTCAAAGAGGCACAAATGGAGGGAGAAAGGGCGAAACGTGCCAAGAGGAAGAAGGTGCGTCAAGCCAACCCTGACCGGGACTGCCTTCCACCTGGAAACCAATGCTCTCACTGTGGAAGAACATGGAGGTCAAGAATAGGGCTCTACCATCACATAAGGACCCACCACCAAGACACTACACTTGGAAGACCATCATATTCAGACAACAAGTAAAAAAAGTAAAATGGCTGATATTGGAAGCTAAGCAAGGCCAGCCTCGGATAGGGCTTGGATGGGAGACTACCATTGGCTTCTCCCACCTTTCTCCTCCAGCTGAATGATGGCCGTCCGGGACCCGAAGCTGTTCCAAGCCGTACAGTTGTAGCGCGTCTGGAAGTCGACCTCCATGACGTTGTTGATGGACAAAGTGGACAGCACCCCGTTGCCGTTGTTGCTGCGCTCCACTGTGTAGCGCTCCAGGGTCCCCGTCTCCAAGGTCTTCTCCTGCCAACCCCAAGCCTGGAAGATGGAGAAAGAAACCTTAATACAGTTGGATGGCCATCTGTTAGGGATGCTTTGATGGTGCCTTTCTTCCTGGCAGAATGGGGTTGGACTGGATAGCCCTTGGGATCCCTTCCGACTAGAATTCTGTGAGTAATACTCATAGGGTTGATGGAGAAAGAGAACTCAACAAATTGAAACCAGTTGGATGGCCATCTATCGGGGGTGCTTTGATGGTATCTTCCTGCTTGGCAAAAGGGGGATTGGACTGGATGACCCTTGGGATCCCTTCCAACTCTAGAATTCTAGTCTCATGGAGAAAGAGAACTCAACAGATTGAAACCAGTTGGATGGCCCTCTATCGGGGGTGCTTTGATGGTGCCTTCCTGCCTGCTGAATGGGGTTGGACTGGATAGCCCTTGGGATCCCTTCCAACTCTAGAATCCTGTGAGTAATAGTCTTATAGGGTTGATGGAGAAAGAGACCCCAACAGATTGAAACCAGTTGGATGGCCATCTCTCGGGGGTGCTTTGATGGTATCTTCCTGCCAAAGGGGGTTGGACTGGATAGCCCTTGGGGTCCCTTCTAACTCTAGAATTGTGTGAGTAATAGTCTCATAGGGTTGATGGAGAAAGAGATCCCAACAGATTGACACCAGTTGGATGGCCATCTATCGGGGATGCTTTTACTAGGTCTTTCTGACTTACAATTCGGTCGGGGAGAGGAGTACTCCCGATGAAACATTCCACTTTCCCGCGGTCGCCCCGTATGGCGTATTGGACTGACTCGCTGGAAATGATGGGGGGACCTAGAACAAAAGAAAGAAAGAGGAGGAGTGAGAGGAGAGGAGAAGAGAGAAGGAATTAAACTTGGGGTGTTCCATCTCTGACACGAGAAACACGGCTTCCCATCCAACTCAAGTGGTGAGAAACTAGTATTTCGTGGAAATTGGAAAAGTTGCCAACTTCAACGTGGCGCACGGTACCTTCCGTTCCTACCTGCCGCATCAAGACGAATACGGCTGAGTGAAACCAATCAAGTCTTTTGAGACATTAAGAAGGGAAAACCCGGCTTTGTTAATGAGGAGGATTACGACGACGTTGCCTGTTAGGAAGAGCTTAAGGAGATTCAAAATCCTTAGATCGGCTCCCGCTGCTCAAAAACCCCGCGGGGAAGCGGGATTCTTATTCATCATCCCTTTCGTTCCTTCTTTTGAGATGTTTAGCAGGGTTTCTCGCGTTCCTCCGACAAACAGGAGCCACGGGGAATCTGCCAGGGGGCAGGATTGGATGCTGGGAGGAATACATGAGACGACACAAGACTAGTGGTGCACAATGCGCAAGGATGCTCTCCAAGGCCTTGGCTGTATGTTTCCTGCCTGGTTTTGAGGACGGTATTCGGCTCTGAGTCGAATTGGGATTTTCACAGTTTGGTCTTGGTCATTCGCTATTAAGGGTAAAGGAAAAGGTTGTCCCCTAAGTCCAGTTGTGTCCCACTCTGGGGATTGGTGCTGATCTCCATTTCGAAGCCGAAGAGCCGGCATTGTCCACAGACACCTCCAAGGTCATGTGGCCGGCATGACTGCATGGGGAACCATTACTTTCCCATCGGAGCGGTACCTATTGATCTACCCACATTTGAATTTTTTTAATAGTTAAAACTGTTTATTTTGATTATAGTACATAACAGAAAAGCAAATCATGGCAGATAAAATCAGGTACCAATATTTTTGACGTGTACATGCCTATCTACCTTATTCAATCAGTCAGTTAATTTTGTCATTAAGTACAAATTATTTTCTTTTACATATCTTACATATCTTACGTTACGTTCCCATCAAAGCAGTACCTGTTCATCTACTGACATTTGCATTTTTTTTTAACTGCTAGGTTGGCAGAAGCTGGAGCTAACAGCAGGAGCTCACCCCGCTCCCCAGATTTGAATGGGCAACCTTTTGGTTACGAAGTTTAGCAGCTCAGCGGTTTAACCCACTGCGCCACCGGGTTATTTATATATATATATATATATATATATATATATATATATATATAGTATATCTTATAATATAATATAATATAATATATATTTGCATATCTTATAATATAATATAATGTAATATTATATATGTATATATATATATATATGTATGTATATGTATATGTATATGTTACCTATATTATTACTAGTAATATTGCAGTACAGTTGTATAGTACAATATACTAATATGTAATACTAATATTGTGCTAGGATAATAATAACAATATATTATTATTATTATTATTATTATATATTGAAGGTAAAGGTTTATTATTTTACTCTATTTTTGTTATTATTACATGTATTATTTTACTCTGACATTAAGTCCAGTTGTGTCTGATTCTGGGGGTTGATGCTCATCTCCATTTCTAAACCGAAGAGCTGGCGTTGTCCACAGACACCTCCAAGGTCATGTGGCCGGCATGACTGCATGAAGCACCGTTACCTTCGAACTACTAGGTTGGCAGAAGCTGGGGCTAACAGCAGGAGGTCTTGTTGCTCCCTGGATTTGAACCTGCGACCTTTCAATCAACAAGTTCAGTAGCTTAGTGGTTTAACCCACTGCGCCTGTGGGTTATTATAATATAATATAATATAATATAATATAATATAATATAATATAATATAATATAATATAATATAATAATGTGTATATATATATGTGTGTGTGTGTATAACATAATATATTAATTGTATATTATATATTACCTATATTATTACTAGTCATATTTCAGTACAGTGGTATAGTACAATATACTAATATATAATACTAATACTGTGTTAGGATAACATATATATAATTGTATATTATTATTATTATTATTATTATTATTATTATTATTATATTAAAGGGAAGGGTTTATTATTTTACTCTATTTTTGTTATTATTACATGCATTATTTTACTCTATTGGTAATTATTACATGCATTATTTTACTCTGACATTAAGTCCAGTCGTGTCCGACTCTGGGGGTTGGTGCTCATCTCCATTTCTAAGCCGAAGAGCCAGTGTTGTCCATAGACACCTCCAAGGTCATGTGGCCGGCACGACTGCATGGAGCACAGTTACCTTCCCATTGGAAGAGCCGGTGTTGTCCATAGACACCTCCAAAGTCATGTGGCCGGCATGACTGCATGGAGGACCGTTACCTTCCCACCAGAAGAGCCGGCATTGTCCATAGACACCTCCAAAGTCATGTGGCCGGCATGACTGCATGGCGCACCGTTACCTTCCCATCAGAAGAGCTGGCATTGTCCATAGACACCTCCAAGGTCAGGTGGCCGGAATGACTGCATGGAGCACCGTTACCTTCCCATCAGAAGAGCTGGCATTGTCCATAGACACCTCCAAGGTCAGGTGGCTGGCATGACTGCATGGCGCACCGTTACCTTCCCATCAGAAGAGCTGGCATTGTCCATAGACACCTCCAAGGTCAGGTGGCCAGCATGACTGCATGGAGCACCGTTACCTTCCCGCCAAAGCGGTACCTACTGATCCACTCACATTTGCATGTTTTTGAACTGCCTAGTTGGCAGAAGCTGGGGCTGACAGCAGAAGCTCACCCCGTTCCCCGGATTCGAACCTGCGATGTTTCGGTCAACAAGCTCAGCAGCTCAGCAGTTTAACCCGCTGCGCCACCGTGGACTTCATTGCAAAAACTCTACAAACAAACATATTAAAACACATTAATACACACATATTAAAAACACATTAGCTCTGACTCACCATTAACAATGAGGGCCACCTCGCGCTCTCCCACCCCGATTCGGGGGACAATGGCCTTGCAGACATATTGCCCGGCATCCGCCTGCGTGACGGACTTGAGGTACAGCTGGTGGCTGTTGCTGAGGACCTGAAGAGAAAACATAGTCAAAAAATATAGATGTGGGTTTAGGATATGTGTGATACCTGGATCCCTTTCCTGAACCAGAGTGGCATATCGAACCTAACTTCGAAAAAGAATAATATCTTGCAGGGGAGCTATCCAAGGTGCTTAACCCTATTGTGGGAAAGGTAAAACATTCTCTGGGTTGCTGTGAGTCTTCCAGGCTGTATGGACATGTTCCAGAAGCATTTTCTCCTGACGTTTTGCCCACATCTATGCAGGCATCCTCAGAGTTTGTGAGGTCTGTTGGAAACTAGGCAAGTGAAGTTTATATACCTGTGGAATAATGTCAAGGGTGGGAGAAAGAACGCCGGCTTTTTGGCTTAAAAATGGAGATGAGCACTATCCCCCAGAGTTGGACACGACTAGACTTATTGTCAAGGGGAAACCTTGACCATTACCTTTACCTATTATTATTATTTGAAACACAACAAGTTGGTGTTAGTGAGAGCGAGTTTGGGTTTAGAGAAGAAGATTGGGTTAGTCTTTTGTATTAAGAGTAGCTATTAGTAGATAGCTAAAATACAGTTGTGGAGCAGGGCCCAGTTAGTGGACTGTTCAATTGCTAGGGAAGTCTAGTTCAGGATATTTTTGGCTAGATTCCTTAAGGGGCAGTTTTGGGGAGTTACTTTCAGAGATTAATTTCCTGAAGTAATTTTCTGTGGTGGAACTTTGAAGACTGGTAACCCAGAAGAGTTTAAGATTTTACTCTAACGCAACCACAAGCTTTTTCATGCCAGTATTTTACTGAAACCATTAAGCATTTGTACCTGAATTACTTCAAGCTTGTTCAATAAACATTCTTGTTCTTTTATTAACTTATACCAGCCTCAGTGTGTGTACCTTTGTGGTTAAAGTATTTCTAAAGTCAGCTTCACAGCAGCCACTAAGAAACTATAGTGGCACAGTGTGTGTTACAGAATAAACTCACAATATTACCTCTGCCTGGTTAATACTGGAATGGTGGCAGCGGAATACATTTGAAGAAGCATTTTAAGTTTCTCAGATCTAGTGTTTCCCAGTTTCTATCTTTTAAACTGCTAAGTGTCTCTCCCCTTCTCTGCTCTAATCTCTCCTGATATTGGTATAATCTGTGTGATATATTTCAACAATTCAAATAAAGAGAAATTAAAATATACAGCTGTTTCAACAACCATACTCCCTCGTCCTTTTGACGGCTTTATATTTTTGGTAAGCACCCGCTCATGTTTTAGGAGGTGCCTGTGCGTTATATGGCTTGTGTCAGTCTTTGCAGTTCAATCTTTAAATCCTCAATTAAATCTATTATTATTATTATTATTATTATTATTTTCCTTCTTGGCTACCTCACAGGGTTGTTGTGAGGATGCCCTAGGAGGCAGGGGAGCTATATATTCTGTGGGACAGAATACTAACTCAGAAATAAATTGGTGGAGGCTAAGAGCTAAGGAAGTATGGAATGGGTTATCAGAGGCCATCTAGTCTAACCGTTTAGGACCATTTAGGCCTGGGCAATCCATGGTTCTAAATGGTCCTAAAGTACTTACAAAACTAAAGTTCTGGTGGTGAAAATTTCAGAACTCTAATAAAACTCTCAAAATTTCATTATAAATGGTATTTCCTAATTGGTTCTGTCATAAAAATCACCAGTAATGAAATAATAATTAAATTTTTGAAAGTTTTGTTAGAGTTCCGACATTTTCACCACCAGAACTTTGGTTTTGTAAGTACTTTAGAACGATTTAGAACCATGGATTGCCCAAGCCTCCTCCTCCATCTACTTCTACTTCTTCTTCTTCTTCTTCTTCTTCTTAATGGTTCTAAAGTACTTATAAAACTAAAGTTCTGGTGGTGAAAATTTCAGAACTCTAATAAAACTCTCAGAATTTCATCATTTATATAAATAAAAATGTAATGTTCGTATGTGGGATTAACAGAACTCAAAAACCACTGGACGAATTGGCACCAAATTTGGCCACAAGACACCTACCAACCCAATGTATGTCCTTCACTCCAAAAAATTGATTTTGTCATTTGGGAGTTGTAGTTGCTGGGATTTATAGTTCACCCACAATCAAAGAGCATTCTGAACCCCACCAATTATTGAATTGAACCAAACTTGGCACACATGACACCCATGATTAAGAGAAAATACTAGAAAGGTTTCTGGGTATTGTCCTTGAGTTTGGGAGTTGTAGTTCACCTACATCTTTAGAGCACTGGGGACTCAAACAATGATGGATCTGGACCAAACTTGGCATAGATACTCAATATACCCACATTTGGATACTGGTGAAGTTTGGGGAAAATAAAACTTGGCATTTGGGAGTTGTAGTTGATAGGATTTATAGTTCATCTACAATCAAAGAGCATTTTGAACTGCACAAATAATGGAATTGAACGAAACTTGGCACACAGAACTCCCATGACCAACAGAAAATACTGGTAGGGTTTACTGGGCATTGACCTTGAGTTTGGGAGTTGTAGTTCACCTAAATCCAGAGATCACTGTGGACACAAACAATGATGGATCTAGACCAAACTCTACACAAATACTCAATATGCCCAAATGTGAATACTGGTGGAGTTTGGGGAAAATAGAATCTTGACATTTGGGAGCTGTTGTTGCTGGGATTTATAGTTCACTTACAATCAAAGAGTATTCTGAACCCCACCAACGATGGAATTGAACCAAACTTGGCACACAGTTCTCCCATGACCAACAGAGTTTGGGGAAAATAGAATCTTGTCATTCGGGAGTTGTAGTTGCCGAGATTTATAGTTCACCTACAATCACAGAGCATTCTGAACCCCACCAACGATAGAATTGGGCCAAACCTCCCACACAGAACCCCCTTGTGGGCCACAGCAACGCGTGGCAGGGGATGGCTAGTAAATGGCATAAAAATCACCAATAATGAAATAATAATTAAATTTTTGAAAGTTTTGTTAGAGTTCAGAAATTTTCACCACCAGAACGTTATAGTTTTGTAAGTACTTTAGAGCCATTTAGAACCATGGATTGTCCAGGCCTACTAACCACACAACAAAGCAGTAGACCCCTGGGAAATGCCAAAACTGGTGGAGGAAGGACTTGGCAGGAATAATCCTGGCAAATCTAGATTCCTTGCCAACATCAACACCAATGTGCAAAGTGGCACAACGACAAAGACAACACGAAAGTCAAGAGGGCAGACTGACCATGTTGGATTCCTTTTTGGTCCAGGTGAGGGTAAGGGGTGGGTTGCCCACCCACACGCAGGTCAGCGTCACGTCCGAGCCGATGTCAGTGGTCATGGGCTTTGGATCCACCACAATGCGAGGTGCAACTGGATGAGAAGGAGAGCGGAAAGAGAGAATGGGTCATCTGAGTGGGAATTTTTAGGAGCCCACAGTGGCGCAGTGGGTTAAGCCCCTGTGCCGGCAGGACTGAAGACCGACAGATCACAGGTTTGAATCCAGGGAGAGCGTGGATGAGCTCCCTCTGTCAGCTCCAGCTCCCCAAGCATGGACATGAGAGAAGCCTCCCACAAGGATGGTAAAACATCAAAACATCTGGGCAACGTCCCCTGGGCAACGTCCTTGCAGAAGACCAATTCTCAAGTCGCTTCTGACATGACAAAAAATAAATAGCCAAAATGGCTGAAGGACCTAAAATAGCTGTCTGTAGCAGTCTTCGTCTAAATCTATATAAATAAAAATGTAATGTTCGTTTGTGGGATTAACAGAACTCAAAAACCACTTGATGAATTGACACCAAATTTGGACACAAGACACCTATCAGGACAATAAGTGTCCATCACTCCTAAAACACACACAAAAACCCAGCAGAACGGATTTAACAAATCCCCCAAAATAAACTATATATACATATACACATACACACATATACAGACACACACATATACATATATACACAAGCACACACAAATATACACATAAATATACACATGTCTCCCATTTCGGGTCTTTTCAAGCATCCAGGTGAGACTGTAGGTAACCCCAGACCCTTCCACTAGCGCAGCCCATTTTGCCCAAAAGCTCACTCACAATGGACGTCCACCAGCGTGCTGACATTGGTGCTGCCCACATCATTGTGGACCTCACAGGAGACCGGCTCCGTGAAGAAGGTGTAGTCCACCTGGGTCTCGTAACGGCTCTCTTTGGCATCCTCGATGATCAGCCCTCCTTTGGCCCACCTGGTGAGAAGAGAGAGAGTGGGGAGGAAATAATACTAATTAATTGAGGTGGATCACTCGTGGACCTCCAATTGTGTTTCGTGGATATACATTGGTTGGAAGTGAGATGTTTGTGGCTCTCAGTTTATCCTGGACATTAAGGATGGAAGGTGGACCATTCCTGGACCTCTAGTGCTTTCTGTCCAGTGGAGAATGGAGGATCTAGATCAGTGTTTCTCAACTTTTCCTAATGCCACGACCCCTTAATACAGTTCTTCATCTTGTGGTGACCCCCCCCTTCTATAACAGAACATCTGTTATAGAACTCCAGTATGCTGATGACAACGTCGTCTGTGCGCATTCAGAAGAAGATCTACAAGCCACTCTAAACACCTTTGCAGAAGCATACGAGAAGCTCGGCTTGTCATTGAACATTGAAAAAACCAAGGTGCTTTTCCAGCAGGCACCAGCCAACCCCTCTCCAATGCCAGTGATACAGCTTAATGGTGTAACATTAGAAAATGTTGATCATTTCCGCTACCTTGGCAGCCACCTCTCCACCAAAGTCAACATCGACACCGAAATACAACACCGCCTGATCTCTGCAAGCGCAGCATTTTTCCGAATGAAGCAGAGAGTGTTTGAGGACCGGGACATCCGTAGGGATACCAAGGTGCTTGTTTATAAAGCTATTGTCCTCCCAACCCTGCTCTATGCCTGCGAGACATGGACTGTCTACAGACGTCACATGCAACTCCTGGAACGATTCCATCAGCGCTGCCTCCGGAAAATCCTGCAAATCTCTTGGGAAGACAGCGGACAAACGTCAGCGTGCTGGAAGAAGCAAAGACCACCAGCATTGAAGCGATGGTCCTCCGCCATCAACTCCGCTGGACCGGCCATGTTGTCCGGATGCCCGACCACCGTCTCCCAAAGCAGTTGCTCTATTCCGAACTCAAGAATGGAAAATGGAATGTTGGAGGACAGGAAAAGAGATTTAAAGATGGGCTCAAAGCCAACCTTAAAAACTCTGGCATAGACACTGAGAACTGGGAAGCCCTGGCCCTTGAGCGCTCCAGCTGGAGGTCAGCTGTGACCAGCAGTCTGCAGAATTTGAGGAGGCACGAGTGGAGGGTGAAAAAGAGAAACGTGCCAAGAGGAAGGCGCGTCAAGCCAACCCCGACCGAGGACCGCCTTCCACCTGGAAACCAATGCCCACTGTGGGAGAAGATGCAGATCACTAATAGGGCTCCACAGCCAAATACGGACCCACAAGAACTCTGGAAGACAATCATCCTCGGAAAGCGAGGGATCGCCTAAGTAAAGTAAGGTGACCCCCAACCATAACATTATTTTTGTTGCTACTTCATACCTGTCATTTTGCTACTGTTATGAATCGTAATGTAAATATCGGATATGCAGGATGTATTTTCATTAACTGGACAAAATTTGGCACAAATATGCAGTACTGGTGGGACTGATATTTGGAGGACCACAAAAGGTTTATCCTTGCAACCGTGCAAATGCCACATTGCATTTTTGACTCAGATGAAGAACACCAGACTCACCTGTAGCCCTTGATCTCTGGGTTGGCGGTGGCTAAGCAGGTGAAGGTGACCCGCTCTCCTTCCTGCACCGTCTGGGGCTGAATGGACAGCGTCACGGTTGGAGGGTCTGCCAAAGAAAAGGAAATTGTTATTCTCCAGAGAATGGGGGCAAAGGGGGGGGGGGGGTCTGTGGATGTGAAACCTCCCACTTTCAGGTTATTTCCTTCTTCTTTGCCCAATTCTTTACAAGAGCCATGCGCCGTTCCCACACTCACGATGAACATTGAGTTTGATGGAGGTCTCCTTTCCGGATGGGATGGCATCATTGGTACACCGGCAAACGTATACCCTTCCGATGTCCAGATCAGTGGGGTTGATGGGCAGCTGGCTCGTAGTAGTCTCCCTCTTGCCATCAGGCAACACTTCCTGGGGGGGGGGGGGGGAACAAAAACAGTCATTTCTGGAAGAAATAATAATAATAATAATAATAATAATAATAATAATAATATGAAAGGAGAGAGGATAAGAGCACTAAAACACTGTTAAGATTTGAAGCAAGGTTTCCCCTTAGGAATCCAAAGAGACGGGCAGAGTTATATGCTGGCAAGCAAAGTGGTTGGCACAATCAGAGCCAGCTAACAACTCCCAACAAAGGATTCCCCCAGGCAGGAAGCAGCCAGACTCTGTAGCTAAAAGGCCATTCATTATTATAATGTAATGCAAAATAATACTACTAATAATAATATGATATTATAATTATATGCTTATATTACATGTAATATTACTAGTAATCTATATAAATAAAAATGTAATGTTCGTTTGTGGGATTAACATAACTCAAAAACCACTGGACGAATTGACACCACATTTGGACACAATTGTCCAAAGCCATGGTCGCCTTAGTGGATGATCTTCATCGGGAACTGGACAGGGGGAATGTGTCCCTGTTGGTTCTTCTGGACCTCTCTTCGACCTTCGATATCGTCGACTACGGTATCCTTCTTCGACGCCTCGCAGGAATGGGCCTCGGGGGGACTGTTTTGCAGTGGCTCCAGTCCTTCCTCAAGGGTCGCTCCCAGAAGGTGTCTTTAGGGGACTCCTGCTCGACCCTGCAGCCATGGTACTGTGGAGTCCTGCAGGGCTCAGTATTGTCCCCTATGTTGTTCAACATCTACATGAAGCCATTGGGAGAGATCATCCGGAGTTTTGGGGTGCAGTGTCATCTCTACACAGATGATGTCCAACTCTGTTACTCCTTCCCACCTGCTACTAAGGAGGCTGTTCAGGTCCTGAACCGGTGCTTGGCTGCTGTCACGGACTGGATGAGGGCTAACAGATTGAAACGAAATCCAGACAAGACAGAGGTACTCCTGGTCAGTCGAATGGCCGAACAGGGCATAGGGCAGTGTTTCTCAACCTGGGGGTCGGGACCCCTGTGGGGGTCGCAAGGGAGTGTCAGAGGGGTCACCAAAGACCATCAGAAAGCACAGTATTTTCAGTTGGTCATGAGGGTTCTGTGTGGGGAGTTTGACCAAATTCTATCATTGGTCGGGTTCGGAATGCTCTTTGATTATAGGTGAACTATAAATCCCAGTAACTACAGCTTCCAAATGTCAAGGTCTATTTCCCCCAAACTCCACTAGTATTCACATTTGGACATATTGAGTATTTGTGTCAAGTTTGGTGCAGATCCATCATTGTTTGAGTCCACAGTGCTCTTTGGATGTAGGTGAACTACAACTCCCAAACTCAATGTCAATGCCCACCAAACTCTTCCAGTATTTTCTTTTCGTCATGGGAGTTCTGTGTGCCAAGTTTGGTTCAATTCTATCATTGATGGAGTTCAGAATGCTCTTTGATTGCAGGTTAACTATAAATCCCAGCAACTACAACTCCCAAATGACAAAATCACCACCACCACCCCCTCCAACCCCACCAGTTTGGTTCAGATCCATCATTGTTTTGATCTGCATGTATGTGAACTACAACTCCATCATTGGTGGAGTTCAGAATGCTCTTTGATTGTAGCTGAACTATAAATCCCAGCAACTACAACTCCCAAATGACAAACTCAATCCCCAAACCCCACTGTATTCAAATTTGGGCGTATTGGGCATTTGTGCCAAATTTGATCCAGTGGATGAAAATACATCCTGCATATCAGATATTTACATTTTGATTCATAACAGTAGCAAAATTACAATTATGAAGTAGCAACGAATACAATGTTATGGTTGGGGGTCACCACAACATGAGGAACTGTATTAAGGGGTCTCAGCATTAGGAAAGTTGAGAAACACTGGCATAGGGTTACATACAGCCTGTGCTGGATGGGGTTACACTCCCCCTGAAGGCGTAGGTTCGCAGCCTGGGAGTGATCTTGGACTCATCGCTGAGCCTGGAACCCCAAGTCTCGGCGGTGGTCAGGGGAGCTTTTGCACAATTAAAACTTGTGCGCCAGCTGTGTCCGTACCTTGGGAAGTCTTACATGGCCATGGTGGTACACGCTCTGGTTACATTCCGTATAGATTACTGCAACGCTCTCTACGTGGGGTTGCCTCTGAAGACTGCCCGGAAGCTACAACTAGTCCAATGAGCGGCAGCCAGACTACTAACAGGAGCGGGGTACAGGGAGCATACGACTCCTCTGTTGCGTCAGCTCCACTGGCTGCCAATCAGCTTCTGAGCACAATTCAAAGTGCTGGTGTTGACCTATAAATCCCTAAATGACTCCGGCCCAGTTTACCTGTCCAAACGGATTCTCCCCTATGAACCATCAAGGTTATTAAGATCTTCTGAAGGGGCCCTGCTCTCGGTCCCACCTCTTTCGCAATCGCACTTGGTGAGAATGAGGGACAGGGCCTTCTCAGTGGTGGCCCCTCAGCTCTGGAACTCCCTCCCAATGGAGATTAGATCTGCCTCTTCCCTCCTAACTTTTAGAAACCTGGTAAAATCATGTTTGGGACACTGCATTTGCAGACTGATGACTGAGTCAATAACTGTTGACCTACTGGTGGATGGCGATGAATTTGTAATTTGTGATTTCACTCTGACGAACTGACTTTTTTGGTAAATGATATGAATTGTATTTTAATGTATTTTAATATATTGATGATGTATATTTGCTTTATCTTATTGTACTGAATCCTCTGTTTTTAGCCGGCCTGAGTCCCTCTCCGGTGGAAAAGTTATAAAAACTCTAAATAAATAAATAAATAAAGACACCTAACAACCCAATGAATGTCCTTCACTCAAAAAAATGATTTTGTCATTTGGGAGTTGTAGTTGCTGGGATTTATAGTTCACCTACAATCAAGGAACATACTGGAAGGGTTTGGGCATACAGGACTCCCATGACCAGCAGAAAACACTAGAAGGGTTTGGTGAGCATTGGCCTTGAGTTTGGGAGCTATAGTTCACCTACATCCGGAGTCTACCATGGACTCAAACAATGATGGATCTGGACCAAACTTGGCACGAATATTCCATATGCCCAAATATGAACACAGATGGAGTTTGGGGAAAATAGACCTTGACATTTGGGAGTTGTAGTTACTGGGATTTATAGTTCATCTGCAATCAAAGAGCATTCTGAACTCCACCAATGATGGAATTGGGCCAAACTTGGCACACAGAACTCCCATGACCAACAGAAAACACTGGAAGGGTTTGGTGGGCAGTGTCCTTTGGTTCTGGAGTTGTAGTTCACCTCCATCCAGAGAGCACTGTGGACTCAAACAATGATGGATCTGGACCAAACTTGGCATGAGTACTCAATATGCCCAAATGTGAACACTGGTGGAGTTTGAGGGAGATAGAATCTTGACATTTGGGAGTTGTAGTTGCTGGGATTTATAGTTCACCTACAGTCAAAGAGCATTCTGAATAAATAGAATTGGGCCAAACCTCCCACACAGAACCCCCATGTGGGCCACAGAAACACGTGGCAGGGTACGGCTAGATATATAACAAATCACAAGTTTAGGAGACTTGTAAAAGGTTACGATATCCAAAAACGACCCTTTGGTTCTCATACCGTGATGGTCACGGCTTCTGTCAGCTGCATCCCGTCACGGAACCAGGCAATGGCGGCTGCGGGTTTGGCATTGCGAGCCCGACACGTGAGGTTATGGGGTGTCCCTGCCCGCAACAGGATTTCAGGGGCTCCATCGATCACGGGGTCTTCAGGAGGGACTGTAAGGAGATAGAGAGGGGCAAGGAAGCAACAGGGAGCATCAGCATCCGCTTCTAAATATCGAAAACTAAAAGATCTCCAAATTCAAATTGACAAAGAATTAGACTAAAAGGAGCAATGAAAAGAATGTCACCACAACAGGAGGAACTGTATTAAGGAATCATGGCATTAGGAAGGTTGTGAACCACTGACCAAGACAATCAAGTTCAGACTAAAACCCGAAACGGATCCACTGATATGCACTCATCCGACGCAGCAATCAGATGTTGTCCTTGGGGCTGATTAAAACCTGCCTTTCGCTTTTGGGGCTGCTGACTCAGGATCCAGCGCCGTCCTTGCTGTCGAAGATAAAATCCATCCTATTTTGTCCCATTGATTGTATCTCCCCCCCACCACCACCACCCTCCCCAATCCGACTTTAATTCCTTCATATATATTCATGGCTGGAGTTGCAATCCCTGCAGGGTCTTCGCTTGGTGCGTTGCCCAGCTTTTGGCTCCCCCTTCGCGCCTTTAAAGTCACTTGGGGAATGTGATGCCTATGTCGAAATGGGGCAGAGAGACTTAGTCTCCCCATTTTATTAATTTGAAACATAAATAAAGGGCTTTATTTATATTCCACCCTTCTCACCCCAAAGGGGACACAGGATGGATCTCAGTACAAATACACAGCAAACATTCAATGCTGTTTTTGTATAGACAATACTTACTTACTCGTTGTCCGAGTAGGATAGTCTCCCAGGGTGGGTCCGTAGGTGACTGTGGAGCCCTATACTTGACCTGCATCTTCTCCCCAGTGAGGGCACTGGTTTCCAGGTGGAAGGTGGTCCCAGTCGGGGTTGGCTTGATGCACCTTCCTCTTAGCACGTTTATCTCTTTCGCCCTCCAGTCGTGCCTCTTCAAATTCTGCAGCACTGCTGGTCACAGCTGACCTCCAACTGGCTCAACAGCCTGGCTCAACAGCCAGGGTTTCCCAGTTCTCGGTATCTATGCCAGAGTTTTTAAGGTTGGCTTTGAGCCCATCTTTCAATCTCTTTTCCTGCCCAACAACATTACATTTTCCAATCCTGAGTTCAGAATAGATCAACTGCTTTGGGAAACAGTGGTCGGGCATTCGGACAATGTGGCCGGTCCAGCGGAGTTGATGGCAGAGGAGCATCGCTTCAATGCTGGTGGTCTTTGCTTCTTCCAGCATGCTGACATTTGTCTGCCTGTCTTCCCAAGAGATTTGCAGGATTTTTCGGAGGCAGCGCTGATGGAATCATTCCAGGAGTTTCATGTGACGTCTGTAGACTGTCCACGTTTCGCAGGCATCTAGCAGGGTTGGGAGGACAATAGTTTTATAAACAAGCACCTTTGTCTCCCTATGGATGTCCCGCTCCTCAAACACTCTCTGTTTCATTTGGAAAAATGCTGCACTCGCAGAGCTCAGGCAGTGTTGTATTTCAGTGTCAATGTTGATGTCTGTATACAGTCCACGTTTCACAGACGTATAGCAGGGTTGGGAGGACAATAGCTTCATAAACAAGCACCTTGGTTTCCCTGCAGATGTCCCGGTCCTCAAACACTCTCTGCTTCATTCAGAAAAATGCTGCACTCGCAGAGCTCAGGCAGTGTTGTATTTCAGTGTCAATGTTGACGTCTGTAGACAGTCTATGTTTCGCAGATGTATAGCAGGGTTGGGAGGACAATAGCTTCATAAACAAGCACCTTGGTCTCCCTACGGATGTCCTGGTCCTCAAACACTCTCTGCTTCATTCGGAAAAATGCTGCACTTGCAGAGCTCAGGCAGTGTTGTATTTCAGTGTCAATGTTGACGTCTGTAGACAGTCCATGTCTCGCAGGCGTATAGCAGGGTTGGGAGGACAATAGCTTCATAAACAAGCACCTTTGTCTCCCTACGGATGTCCTGATCCTCAAACACTCTCTGCTTCATTTGGAAAAATGCTGCACTCACAGAGCTCGGATGGTGTTGTATTTTGGTGTCAATGTTGACTTTGGTGGAGAGGCGGCTGCCAAGGGAGCGGAAATGGTCAACATTTTCTAATGTTACACCATTAAACTATGTTTCTGGCATTGGAGAGGGATTGGCTGGCGACTGCTGGAGCAGCACTTTGGTTTTCTCAAAAGAATCATAGAATCATAGAGTTGGAGGAGACCTCATGGGCCATCTAGTCCAACCCCATTCTGCCAAGAAGCAGGAAAATTGCGTCCTCATGGACAAGTTAAACATGAGCCAACAATGTAATGCTGCAGCTAAAAAATCCAATGGATTTTGGCCTCTATAGTGTCTAGATCTAGGGAAGTCATGCTCCCCATGCTCTATTCCGCTTTGGTTAGACCACACCTGGAATATTGTGTCCAATTCTGGCCACCACAATTCAAGAGAGATATTGACAAGCTGGAATGTGTCCAGAGGAGGACGACTAAAACGATCAAGGGTCTGGAGAACAAGCCCTGTGAGGAGTGGCTGAAAGAGCTGGGCATGTTTAGCCTGAAGAAGAGAAAGCTGGGAGGAGACATGATAGCCATGTATAAAATGAGAGGAAGCCACAGGGAGGAGGGAGCAAGCTTGTTTTCTGCTTCCCTGGAGACTAGGACGTGGAACAATGGCTTCAAACTACAAGAGAGGAGATTCCACCTGAACATGAGGAAGAACTTCCTGACTGTGAGAGCCATTCAGCAGTGGAACTCTCTGCCATGGGCTGTGATGGAGGCTCCTTCTTTAGAAGCTTTTGAGCAGAGGCTGGATGGCCATCTGTCGGGGGTGCTTTGAATGGAATTTTCCTGCTTCTTGGCAGAATGGGGTTGGACTGGATGGCCCATGAGGTCTCTTCCAACTCTAAGATTCTATGAACTGCTTAGTTCAGGGGTCCTCAAACTAAGGCCCGAGGGCCCGATACGACCCTCCAAGGTTTGGCGGGGACGAGAGACAGGGCCTTCTCAGTGGTGGCCCTTCGGCTGTGGAATGCCCTTCCTACAGAAATTAGACTGGCATTTCGGAGGAAAGTGAAGACCTGGTTGTTCGAGCAGGCATTTGAATAGGCAGTGTAACGAATACAGGAATATGGAACAATTGGATGATGAGACTGGATCTTGATTTTAACTATGAGGCGAGATGAGATGTTATATGATGTTTAATTTATTGTTATAATGCTACTGTTTTAATTGTTTTTAACCGTTTTGTGATGTTTTAAGCATTGAATTTTGCTATTGTGAACCGCTCTGAGTCGCCCAAGGGCTGAGAAGAGCGGTATACAAATATAGTAAATAAATAAGTAAATAAATAATTTACCCGGCCCTCGCTCAGGGTCAACCTAAGTCTGAAATGACCTGAAAGCACACAACAACAACAACAATCCTATCTCATCAGTCAAAAGCAGGCCCACACTTCCCATTGAAATACTAATGAGTTTATATTTGTTAAAATTGTTCTCCGTTTTAATTATTGTATTGTTTTTAAGTGTTTTTTACACTACAAATTAGATATGTGCACTGTGCATAGGAATTCATTCATTTTTTTTCCAAATTATAATCTGGCTCTCCAACAGTTTGAGGGACTGTGACTTGGCCCTCTGTTTAAAAAGTTGATCTGGCTTAGGTCAACAGTAAGCTGGGCTGACAGTCGGCAGCTCACACCAACCCAGGGCTTTGAACTTACAACCTTTCGGTTGATAGCTTTTATAATTGCTGGTGACTTACCAGCTGTGCTAAACCCCCGGCCTTGTGTTTCTGTCCATGAGAGCCTTTGACAACACACTGAATCAGTGCAGACTCTGCTATGGAAACCCACTGGTTTAACCAGTCATTTCACAGTGTCGTGGAATGTTTGTTAATTGATTGATCGATCACTTTGTTCTCTTTCCAGCTCCACCTTCCTCCTCTTTGCTTCCTCCTTCTGATCCTGAACAAACTCTCAATCTTTCCCCTTTGTTTTCATCCTATTTTGGTTAGAAAGCAAACGAAAGGTGCGCTAATCAGTCATGCACCCCGCCATTCTCTTAAGAAGCTGTCGAGGAAAGAAGGGAGCGAGGGAGGGAAAGGAAAGAAAGAGCGGCAGGCACGACTCGTCTCTTCATCTCCTCCCCTTTGACAAGCGTCTTGAATTTTTCACCGAAAGGAAGGAAGGAAGGAGACCTTGAGGGACGCTCATGGTTTCTCCCTCTTGTCAACCTAATCAGAGATCCTTTCTCTCGGCTTGAAGGATCATCAATATTTCACGCCCGCACGCAGCCCGGGTTTTAAGATATCTATATATGTCTCTAGCAGCAGCAGGCAAGGTTCGCTCTCTCTCTCTCGCTCCTTGCTCACTTATGCAGAACAGTTTTACGAGGATTGAATGAAAAGTAATGCCTCCACTTTCGTTACTTGGGTTTGGATGGGAATATTTTAATAAATCAAACGCAGAAATAATCCTTAGAATGTGCTTTTTAACTAACACTATTCACTTTTCCACACAATCACCAGACAATTGGATACATTTCTGCCAACAGTGAACAAGTTTCCTGAAGCCGTCATGGAAGAAGTAGACACACAGTTTCTGCAACCAGCAGCATCCTGGGTACCCATTGTGCACAGATCTTCCGATAGCCAAGCAAAGCAATAATGTGACCCACACATAATCACCAGACAATTGGATACATTTCTGCCAATGATGAACAAGTTTTCTGAAGCCATCACGGAAGAAGTAGACACTCTGTTTCCGCAACCAGCAGCAGCATCCTGGGTGCCCATTGTGCACAGATCTTCCGATAGCCAAGCAAAGCAATAATATGGCCCACACATAATCACCAGGCAATTGGATACATTTCTGCCAATGATGAACAAGTTTTCTGAAGCCGTCGCGAAAGAAATAGACACACAGTTTCTGCAACCAGCGGCAGCATCCTGGGTATCCACTGTGCACAGATCTTCCGACAGCCAAGCAAGCAAGCAAAACGTGACCAACACATTCTTGTGAAATGCCGATTATGCTTGCAATTTCTCTCTGAGTGATACGATGATCGCCCTGAATCAATCTGTCAACCTTTTGCTTGTGAAACTCGGTGGTTGCTGTTACAGGACGTCCAACTCTTTGTCATGCAAGTCGGATGTTCCCACTTCAACATTTTTAAACTTACTCACCCAACAATGCACAGTACTCACATCAACACAATCACCATAAATATTTTGCATTCTCCAATGAATCTCCTTTGGGGTGATACCTTCTGCTGTTGAGGAGTTACGAAGGTGGAGGCATTACTTTTCATTCAACCCTCATATACATATACATATACATATATATATATATATATACAGAGAGAGAGAGAAAGAGAGAGAGAATCATAGAATCATAGAGTTGGATGAGACCTCATGGGCTATCCAGTCCAATCCCATTCTGCCAAGAAGCAGGAATATTGCATTCAAATCACCCCTGACAAATGGCCATCCAGCCTCTGCTTAAAAGCTTCCAAAAAAGAAGCTTCCACCGCACTCCGGGGCAGAAAGTTCCACTGCTGAACAGCTTCCACAGTTAGGAAGTTCTTCCTAATTTCAGATTTGTGTGTGTGTGTGTGTGTCAGGAGCAACTTGAGAAACTGCAAGTTGCTTCCGGTGTGAGAGAATTGGCTGTCTGCAAGGACGTTGCCCAGGGGACACCCAGATGTTTCGATGTTTTGCCATCCTTGTGGGAGGCTTCTCTCATGTCCCCTGTGACTTCCTCTCACGTATTTATACATGGCTATCATAATTCCTCTCAGCCTTCTCTTCTTCGGGCTAAACATGCCCAGCTCTTTCAGCCGCTCCTCATAGAGCTTGTTCTCTAGATCCTTGATCATTTTAGTCGCCCTCCTCTGGACACATTCCAGCTTAGAGTCCATCTCCCTTCAATTGTGGTGCCCAGAATGGGACACAGTATTCCAGGTGTGTTCTAACCAAGGCAGAATAGAGCATGGGGAGCATGACTTCTCTGGAATCTAGACACTATAGAGGCCCAAATCCCGTCGGCTTTTTTTTGCCGCCGCATCACATTGTTGGCTCAGGTTTAACTTCTTGTCCACGAGGACTTCAAGATGTTTTTCACACGTACTACTCTTGAGCCACGTGCTTGAGACGCATATATATGTGTCTCTAGCAGCATGCAATGTTCGCTCTCGCTCTTTGCTCACTTATGCAGAACAGGTTTTTTTTGCATTTGCCGGTGAAAATCAGACCGGCAGAAAGAACAAGTCGAAAGTGCGCCTCCTCCTGAAATATCCCACAGGTTCGAGGCAGAGCGTGTCTTCCCGTCTCACATTCAAAGTCTCTTCATCCAGAGAAGGAGAAAAAAGAGAGAGAGAGCGACGGGTTATGCATATTTCATCTGAGAGAATCCCGAACTGCCTCTTAAATAGCTGCTTTTAACCAGTCGGACGTCGGGCGGCATTAGAGGGAAGGAAGGAACGAATCCAGGTTTCTGCTCGGCTTCACCTTCGGAGCTCTCTGGTCTGGAAGGGAGGAATAGGCTAGACTTTGAAATGGATGCTAGATGAAATCTCCAAATTGGGGACGTATTGGGACATTGGGTTCTATCCCCATGCCACCACCAAGTTTGGAATTTTGTCTCTTCCCATTTCATTGTGCAGTACTCACTTTGAAAGTCGTTGTTCTGTTCCAGAAACTTTGTTTTTGAGGCTGCCACAAAGTAGGTTGAATTGGTTGAGACTCAATAACAGTGTTTCTCAACTTTCCTAATGTTGTGACGCATTAATACAGTTCCTCATGTTGCGGTGACCTCCAACCATGTTCTAGCTCAGTGTTTCTCAATCTTCCTAATGTTGTGATGCATTAATACAGTTCTTCATATTGTGGTGAACCCCAACCATGTTCTAGGTCAACATTTCTCAACCTGCAACCCATTAATACAGTTCCTTGTGTTGTGGTGACCTCCAACCATGTTCTAGCTCAGTGTTTCTCATCCTGTGACCCATTAATACAGTTCCTAGTGTTGTGGTGACCTCCAACCATGTTCTAGCTCAGTTTTTCTCAACCTTCTGAATCTTGCGACCCCTTAATACAGTAATTCATGTTGTGATGAACCGCAACCATGTTCAAGCTCAATGTTTCTCAACCTTCCTAATGTTGTGAMGCATTAATACAGTTCCTCGTGTTGTGGTGAACCCCAACCATGTTCTAGCTCAGTGTTTCTCAACCTTCTTAATGTTGTGATGCATTAATACAGTTCCTCATGATGTGTTGACCTCCAACCATGTTCTAGCCCAGTGTTTCTCATCCTGTGACCCATTAATACTGGTCCTAATGTTGTGGTGACCTCCAACCATGTTCTAGCTCAGTGTTTCTCATCCTGTGACCCATTAATACTGTTCCTCGTGTTGTGGTGACTCCCAACCATGTTCTAGGTCAATGTTTCACAACTTTCCTAATGTTGTGACGCATTACTACAGTTCCTCATGTTGTGGTGACCTCCAACCATGTTCTAGCTCAATGTTTATCAACCTGCGACCCATTAATACAGTTCCTTGTGTTGTGGTGACCTCCAACCATGTTCTAACTCAGTGTTTCTCAACCTTCCTAATGTTTTGACGCATTAATACAGTTCCTCGTGTTGTGGTGACTCCCAACCATGTTCTAACTCGATGTTTCTCAACCTTTCTAATGTTGTGACCCATTAATACAGTTCCTCATATTGTGGTGAACTGCAACCATGTTTTAGGTCAATGTTTTTTAACCTGCAAGTCATTAATACAGTTCCTCGTGTTGTGGTGACCTCCAACCATGTTATAGACAATGTTTCTCAACCTTCCTAATGTTGTGACCCATTAATACAGTTCCTCATATTGTGGTGACCCCCAACCATGTTCTAGCTCAATGTTTCTCAACCTGCGACCCATTAATACAGTTCCTCGTGTTGTGGTGACCCCCAACCATGTTCTAGCTCAATGTTTCTCAACCTGCGACCAATTAATACAGTTCCTCGTGTTTTGGTGAACCCCAACCATGTTCTAGCTCAATGTTTCTCAACCTTCGTAATGTTGTGACCCATTAATACAGTTCTTCATATTGTGGTGAACCCCAACCATGTTCTAGGTCAACGTTTCTCAACCTGCGACCCATTAATACAGTTTCTCATGTTGTGGTGACCCCCAACCATGTTCTAGCTCAGTGTTTCTCATCCTGTGACCCATTAATACAGTTCCTAGTGTTGTGGTGACCTCCAACCATGTTCTAGCTCAGTTTTTCTCAACCTTCCTAATGTTGTGACCCATTAATACAGTTCCTCATATTGTGGTGAACCCTAACCATATTCTAGCTCAATGTTTCTCAACCTGCGACCAATTAACACAGTTCCTCGTGTTTTGGTGACCTCCAACCATGTTCTAGCTCGGTCTTTCTCAACCTTCCTAATATTGTGACTCATTAGTACAGTTCCTCGTGTTGTGGTGACCTCCAACCATGTTCTAGCTCAGTGTTTCTCAACCTTCCCAATGTTGCGACCCATTAATACTGTTCCTCATGTTGTGGTGACCCCCAAACATGTTGTAGCTCAATGCTTCTCAACCTTCCCAACAGATGGCCATCCCACCTCTGCTTAAAAACCTCAAAAGAAGGGACACAACTATACATTGATCCTGAGGATCCTGAACTGGTAATGCCACCATTCTCTAGTCTGAAACCCATTGACGGGCCAAAATACAACTTACTCAGGACGGTCAGCTTCGCACGCCGGGATCGCAGGGCGGCCTCTGTAGCCTGGCACTCGTATAAGGCATCGTCGGAGAGCTCCGCGTCCACAATCTCCAAGTTGTACTGGCCCAGTTCGGCCAACCCGATGATCCTGTATCGCGGCCAGGCTGAGGAAAGAGAGGTCGACGTGAGAAGAGACCCAAGTGAAAGGCTTGAATACACACTGGATGGGATCTGGGCCCATAACCTGTTTGCATTTACAGAATCCTAGAATCGAAAGAGACCCCAAGGGCCATCCCATCCCACTCCCTGCTGTGCAAGAAAACAAAATCAAAGCCCTCCCCACAGATGGCCACCCAGCCTTTGATGTGAGAAGACACCCAGGGAAAAGGCTTGAATACACATTGGATGGGATCTGGACCCATATCCTGTTTGCATTTACAGTATCCTGGAGTTGAAAAAGACCCCAAAGGCCATTCCATCTAACTCCCTGCTGTGCAAGGAGACACAATCTAAGCCCTCCCCACAGATGGCCACAGATGTGAGAAGAGACCAAGGGGAAAGACTTGAATACACATTGGATGGGATCTGGGCCCATAATGTGTTCGCATTTACAGAATCCTAAAGTTGGAAGAGACAACAAGCACCATCCCATCCAATTCCCTGCTGTGCAAGAAGACACAATCTAAGCCCTCCCCACAGATGGCCACCCAGCGTTTGATGTGAGAAGAGACCCAGGGGAAAGGCTTGAATACACATTGGATGGGATCTGGGCCCATAACCTATTTGCATTTGCAGAATCCTAAAGTTGGAAGAGACCCCAAGGGGCATCCCGTCCAACTCTCTGCTGTGCAAGAAAACACAATCTAAGCCCTCCCCACAGATGGCCACCCAACCTCGGTTGTAAAAACTTGCTGAATTAATGCAGTTTGGACCCCACTTTCACTCTCATGGCTCAGTGCTATGGGATCATGGGAACTGTAGTTTCACACAGTCTTTAGGCTTTGATTGCATTCAGACATGGCAGTTAAAACGGGATCAAACTGCATGGAATTTGCAGTTCTCCCCAGAGCATGGCTGCTTTGGCCTCTTTCCATTACCTCCCTCGGCCAGTAGGTGGAGCCTTCAGTCCATTAAAAGGGCAGTCAAGGTCCAGCCGCCTTCCTCCATGGACAGATAATAATGATAATAATAATAATATTGTCGAAGGCTTTCATGGCTGGAATCACTAGGTTCTTGTGGGTTTTTTCGGGCTATAGAGCCATGTTCTAGAGGCATTTCTCCTGACGTTTCGTCTGCATCTATGGCAAGCATCCTCAGAGGCAAAACGTCAGGAGAAATGCCTCTAGAACATGGCTCTATAGCCCGAAAAAACCCACAAGAACCTAATAATAATAATAATAATAATAATAATATAATAATAATAATAATAATAAGCTTATATATCTCATTTGCTGTGACAAACTGTGTTTTTGTGTCAGTAAAATAATAATAATAATAATAATAATAATAATATGAAATCCAGCATATACATTTCGTTTGATGTGACATACTGTGTTTTTGAGTCAATATGATAATAATAATAATAATAATAATAATAAGGTTATTTCAAAAAGTCATTTTTTAATTGTCCAGAATGCATAAGTTTGTGTGAGAACTACAACTCCCATCATGCCAGGTTAACCCCGAGAAACTCCATCTGTACTTGTTATGTTGGGCAAGTTTGCTCTAGATGCATCATCGGTAGGGTTCAGTGTGCTCTCTGGCTGCAGGGTGAACTATAACTCCCACTATGGTGAGTCTGTCCGCTCAAACTCCTCCAGTAGGCTGAGTTACTCATGGGGATTCTGTGGGCCAAGTTTGGTCCAGGTCCATCATCGGTGGAGGTCACCGTTTCTCTGGTTGTGGGTGAACTGCAACTCCCACTATGGTGAGTCAATCCCCTGAAACCCCTCCAGTAGGTTGAGTTCGTCATAGGGGGTTCTATGTGGTCCAAGTTCATTATCGGTGGAGCTCGCAGTTTCTCTGGTTATGGGTGAACTACAACTCCCAAAAAGCAAGGTCAGTTTCCCCCAAACTCCTCCAGCAATCAAATTTCAACATATCAGGTATACGTGCCAAGTTTGGTCCAGATCTATCAGAGTTTGGGTTTGCAGTGCTGTCTGGAAGTAGGTGAACTACAACTCCCCCAAATCTAGGTGAATTTCCCCCAGTGACCTCCAGTATTTTTTGCTGGTCATGGGGGCTCTGTGTGCTAAGATTGGTCCAATTCCATTTTAGGTGGAGTTCAGAGCGCTCATTGATTGCAGGTGAACTATAAATTCCAGTACCCACAACTCCAAAAATGTCCAGGCCAATTCTCCTCAAAACCCACCGATATTCAAATTTGGGCATATTGGGTATGGTCCAGATCCATCATTGTTTGGATTCATAGTGTGCTCTGGATGTAGGTGAACTACAACTCCAGAGGTCTGCCATTCTACCTTTGAGGCCCTGCCCCATCCCCAGGGCCAGGCCATCCTTGGTCCACTGCACGATCCCGGAGTAGTTGAGCACCACGCAGGAGAGCACAACCCTCTGCCCAGCCACCACCGTCTGATCCTCGGGCTCCTCGATAAAGCGGGTCTGCAGAACTGTGGAGAGAAACGAGAGAGATTTGGATACAGGTCATTGAAGTCCCTATCAGAGTCCACCACCTTCTAGGGAAGTTATAGAACTCCAATATGCCAATGATGTTATAGAACTCCAATATGCCAATGATAATGTAGACTAAGCGCATTCAGAACGAACACCTACAAGCCACTCTAAACACCTTCGCAGAAGCATATAAGAAGCCAAAACCAAGTTCACAACATCTGTTATAGAACTCCAATATGCCGATGATAATGTAGTCTGTGCCCATTCAGAAAAAGACCTACAAGCCATTCTAAACACCTTCGCAGAAGCATACGAGAAGCCAAAACCAAGGTCACAACAACATCCGTTATAGAACTCCAATATGCTGATGATAATGTAGTCTGTGCCCATTCAAAAAAGACCTACAAGCACTCTAAACACCTTTGCAGAAGCATATGAGAAGCCAAAACCAAGCTCACAACAACATCTGTTATAGAACTCCAATATGTCGATGATAATGTAGTCTATGCACATTCAGAAGAAGACACACTAAACACCTTTGTAGAAGCATACAAGAAGCTTGGTGTGTCACTTAACTTCGAGAAAACCCAAGTCCTGTTCCAGCAGTCACCAGCCAATCCCTCTGCAATGCCAGAAATACAGCTTAATGGTGTAACGTTAGAAAATGTTGACCATTTCCACTCCCTTGGCAGCTACCTCCCCACAAAAGTAAACTGACACTGAAATACAACACTGCCTGAGCTCTGCGAGTGCAGCATTTTTCCAAATGAAGCAGAGAGTGCTTGAAGACCAGGACATCCATAGGGATACCAAGATGCTTGTTTCTAAAGCTATTGTCCTCCCAACCCTCCCATATACCTGCAAAATGTAGACTGTCTACAGACGTCAACATTGACACTGAAATACAAGACTCCCTGAGCTCTGCGAGTGCAGGATTTTTCCAAATGAAGCAGAGTGTTTGAGGACTTGGACACCTGTAGGGAGCCCAAGGTGTTTGTTTATAAAGCTATTATCCTCCCAACCATGCCATACACCTGCAAAACGTGGACTGTCTACAGATGTCAACATTGACACTGAAATACAACACTGCCTGAGCTCTGCGAGTGCAGCATTTTTTCGAATGAAGCAGAGAGTGTTTGGGTACTGGGATATCCATAGGGAGACCAAGGTGCTTGTTTATAAAGCTATTGTCCTCCCAACCCTGCTATATGCCTGCGAAACGTGGACTGTCTACAGCCATCATATTCAACTCCTGGAACAATTCCATCTGCAAACATTCAGTGCCATAGATCTACAACATGGTATACGGTAGGCTATAGAGGTGCCTGCTACAGATGTGGGCAAAACGTCATGAGAGAATGCTTTTGGAACATGGCCGGACAGCCTGGAAAACTCACAGCAATCCAGTGATTCCGGCCAAGAAAGCCTTTGACAACACATTGAGGAGGCTATATCCTCAAACCCTAATATACACACACACACACACACACACACACACACAACTATATTATCATTATTATAATAATATTATGACTACATTATTTTCACTATGCTACTATTACTGCATTATCATCTTATTTATTATTTATTATTGTCTTATTATTTATTTATTTATTTATTTATTTATTATTACTATATTGGAGACTTCGGTGGCGCAGTGGGTTAAACCCTTGTGCCGGCAGGACTGAAGACCGACAGGTCGCAGGTTCGAATCCGAGAAAGAGCGCGGGTGAGCTCCCTCTGTCAGCTCTAGCTCCCCATGTAGGGACGTGAGAGAAGCTTCCCACAAGGATGGTCAAACATCAAAACATCCGGGCAATGTCCTTGCAGACGGCATGTTCGAATCCGGGAAAGAGCACGGGTGAGCTCCCTCTGTCAGCTCCAGCTGGCCATGCAGGGGCATGAGAGAAGCTTCCCACAAGGATGCTCAAACATCAAAACATCCGGGCAACATCCTTGCAGACGGCAGGTTTGAATCCGGGAAAGAGTGCGGGTGAGGTCCCTCTGTCAGCTCTAGCTCCCCATGTAGGGACATGAGAGAAGCTTCCCACAAGGATGGTCAAACATCAAAACATCCGGGCAACGTCCTTGCAGACGGCCAATTCTCCCATGCCAGGAGCGACTTGCAGGGAGAAGCATTCCCTGGCAAAAACAGTGCAAAGTTGCATTTACTTTCTTTTTCAAAACTTTGGTTCATTTGCCCTGGACTGACCATCAGAACCAATGTGATTTCCACGCCACCGAATGACTGTCCCTTTCGGAGAGGCCTGTGGATCCAAAGCACAGCTGCCCGATGCCCTTTCCTGGCTCAAAAAACCAAAGATTGGGTCGATAACTGCATTTTTCCCCCTCCCAACGCGGTTGCGGCAATCACATGCCACCAAATGAACCTCTAGCCTCGGGGTTAGCAGAGATTGATCGGGCGGGAGACCACCTCCAAACGCTTGCATTCACATAAAAGCAATGGCAATCTGCCTCTGTGTTCTCCAAACTGGTTTGGAACTATTCCACGATGTCAACAAACTGACTCCCAGAAAGTAAAGGAACCCCAAAAACGATGCATTACTACAAGTAGCCGCTCCGAAGCCAAAGCGATGGCAACACTCCAACGTGCAATGTCAATATTGGCAGGTGGGATTCCAGGCTATGCCACTCGCATGCAGAACAGCATCGTCGTACAATGTAGGTCAATGACCGAGTGCGGATGCGAAATAATGCATAACAACCGTGTGAAATATTTAACATTGTTTTCTAGGTTGCGCAGCAAATACCTCTGTTGTGTGTCATGTGGTTTATGCATGGATATTATCTACATAACATGGGCTCCCATCTACATTAACCGTTTAACTCGGTTTTGCGGTGGCCAGAGGACAAACTCCCCTGAAAGGCCCGTCTACACTGGCTGCTTAACTCAGTTCTTAACCAGGAAGTCATCTAGTCTGTTCTATTACGAGTTGGAAAGGTACCCCAATGCTCAAAGCCATCTGTATGGTCATCTGTCGGGAGTGCTTTGATTGTGTATTCCTGTATGGCAGGAAAGGGGTTGGACTGGATGACTTTTAGGCTTTAATGACTCTATGCTCATCCAAACTCCAAATGAAGAGTTGCTGTGCTGGGCTGCCTGGCCATGTTCCAGAAGCATTCTCTCCTGACGTTTCTCCCACATCTATTGCAGGCATCCTCAGAAACTGTGAGGTTTCCAGGTCTGAAAATTCACAGCAAGCCATTATTATTATTATTATTATTATTATTATTATTATTATTATTATTATTGGGATGCTGTGAGTTTTCGGGTCTTTCTGGCCTTGTTCCAGAAGCATTCTCACCTGATGTTTTGCCCACATCTATGGCAGGCAACCTCAGAGGTTGTGAGGTTTCCAGGTCTGAAAATTCACAGCAACTCATTGTTGTTGTTGTTGTTGTTATTATTGGATTGCTGTGAGTTTTCGGGTCTGTCTGGCCATGTTCCAGAAGCATTCTCTCCTGACGTTTCTCCCACATCTATGGCAGGCATCCTCAGAGGTTGTGAGGCCTGTTGGAAACTAGGAAAGTGAGGTTTATATACCTATGGAATGATGTCCAGGATGGGAGAAAGAACTCTTGTCTATTGGAGGCAAGAATGAATATTGCCATTGGCCAGCTTGATTAGCACTGAATAGACTTGCAGCTTCAAAGCCTGCCTGCTTCCTGCCTGGGGAAGGAAGCAGGCAGGCTTTTGTTGGGAGGTGTTAGCAGCCTCTGTTACCATCCTCTGTTTGGATATCATGTCAGCACGCCAATGCCTTAAATCAAGAAATAGTTTTCTACGATCTACAAAGATACTCACAGAAATACCTCAGCATGCAAGAGTCCAAAAGTGGCAGGCTAAACCATGCCTGATACCAAATGCCTGGTATCCACGCCTGATACCAAATGAGAGATTCAGCTTCAAAACCTAGCTGCTTCCTGCCTAGGGGAATCCTTTGTTGGAAGGTGTTAGCTGGCCCTGATAGTTTCCTGTCTGGAATTCCCCATGAATCAGAGCTCGTCAGGAGAGAATGCTTCTGGAAGATGGCCATACAGCCCGGAAAACTCACAATAATCCAAAGCCCTTAATGTCCATCAGTACTCTGTGATTTGTATCATCACAGTCAGGACCGCAAACTGGTTCCAGGATTTTCTATGAAAGCGTTGGCACAGTGAAACCCTTTCCTTTAGTACCAGTTCTAAACTGAATTAAACAGTCAGTGTAGAGGGGACCACAATGCCCACCAATGTTGCAACCTTTCTAGCGCAACAAATGGATGTTATGGTTGAGGTTAGTTGTCCCAAACTATGGTGGGAGTTTCAAGTTTGTGGCAGGACTCAGACTGTCGCCTGAAGCTAAGAATAAATGGCATTTCCGCTGCTCTCTCCGACATGGAGATGGAAAGTACCTGAAGCCACCAGACAAGTTATTTTGGCCCCGGGAGGCATGGAAATCTCATCCAGGAGTCTTTACCTCTGGCAGCGAAACGCCAGCCCAACAGTTTAAATAATGGTCAATTTCCTGGCTATCTTAGCTCCACAACTGGCCATCTTGATTAGCATTTAATGGCCTTGCAGCTTCAAAGCCGGGCTGATTGCTGCCTAGGGAGATCCTTGCGACGTTCACACTTGCCTCAAGTAGACAAGAGTTCTTTCTCCCAACTGGGACATTATTCCACAGCTATATAAACCCAATTTTAGTCTGGGCCAACTAATCACCTCCCAACAAAGGATTCCCCCAGGCAGTAAGAAGCCATACCTTGAAGCTGCTAGGCCATTCCATGCTAGTCAAGGTAGCCTATTGCAACATTCACACTTGCCTCAAGTAGACAAGAGCTCTTTCTCCCACCTGGGACATTATTCCACAGATATATAAACCCAATTGTAGTCTGGGCCAACTAATCACCTCCCAACAAAGGATTCCCCCGGGCAGTAAGAAGCCAGACCTTGAAACTGCTAGGCCATTCCATGCTAGGACATTCACTGCTAA